CCCCCGACAATGGGACATTGTCCCATATTGGAAGAGGAAAAGGTTTTTGATGGGTATATATACAATTGCACTTCTTCTAGCTCTTAAAGAGTTAAGAAGAAGGCAAGCCTCGCGTCGTTATCGTCGCTCGACTCGGCTCGGCTTCGGCTTCGGATTTGGATTTGGTCAAATGATTGATTGATTAGTTTTTTGGACCAAATTTATTTGTTAATAGCAAATATTAACAAAAATCCAACGGAATATTAATATTAAATCCAACGGAAATATTCAACATTTATTTCCGTTATCCGTTTTCAGTTTTTCGATTTTGTAACTGAAAATTGACCTCCCTCTTCAATTCCCGGTTTATTGTTGCATAAATTAGTCATTTATGTTATGGCTTTTTTACATAAACAGTCATTCTGAAGAGTTGCACCTCTTCAGTTTGAGCTCAACAGTGGCTATAAATACCAGTCCATTCTCTCCACATTTTTCATACGATTTTCTAAGTTATCCTCCTTCCTTCTGCATTGTTTTTACTTCAAAGAAAGCAACAGCAAGTGTGATTTGCTACCGAACTTTGTGTTCACTGAAACACTGTGGTTTGAAGTACCACTACACCAGTGTGTAATTTGTTCTATCCTGGGAGGAAATAATCCACAACCTTGGGTACTAGGAGGGGGTTAAATTCCTTAAGGAAACACTGTGAATTCGGTGGGCTCAGATTAATTTTTGTTTCGTTTATATTTCTGTTTATATGTTATTTTATTTTCTCCAGAATTATTTTACGAATACAGTATACTAACTATTTTGCGCCACCCATTAAATTTGTATTCACCTTTTACTAAAAGTTTAACTGATATTCAAATTTTGGATAACTTCAGATACATACACTTTTTCTTATGTTTTACTGTATTTTCTTCTTCTTTGTGCTTAGAGTTTCTTCTCCTTCTTAGTTGCAAAATGGGCTTGTTAAATTTGTTGTTGTTTTTACAATTTGATGATTAAGATTTGTGAATTGTTTAAGTATTTGAAAGTTATGTTTCAACTTTGAGCTCATTTAGGATTTGGGCATTAAATCGTGTATTGGATTGTTGAAATTCGAAAAACAAGTTTATGCTTCACAACTTAAGATTTGAAATCTGAAGATGTATTCAATAGATTAAACTACTTAATATTTGAATTTCTGAAGTTGCATTGAAGAGATTGAACTATTTCAGATTCGAACGGGGCAAAAATTTGTGCAATGCGGGTATAACTTCAATGGTGACACAAAAATGAGTATATATGAAAATGCCCCGCAAATCTCGTGCATTGATACATGGGTTAATGATCCGACAAAACCATGTATACGCTTGATTTCAGAGTTTAACAGCTTAATAGAACAATCATATTTTTCCTTATTCTATATATCTAATTCATCTCCTTAAATTTATGTGTAGGGTTTTCAATGATGAAGAAATAAAGTTTTTTCTTTTTTTTTTTTTTTTTTTGGTTTAGGAGGAAGGAGAAGAGAGAAATGTTCGGTACGAATAAAACCTTTTACTCGTATGATATAAGGTACCAGCCAACTTAGTTCTCATTTTTCTTGAAAAGGAATAAGTTTTGCTTTTTTTTTTCTTTTTCTTTTTGGGAATTTATTCTTTAAATTCTAATTATCATTTCTTTAATCATGTTCGTTACTATTCAAGGCAAATTAAAGCGTTGAAGATACAAGAGGTTCATCATCGGGGCTACTGGTGGCTGGTGCAAGACTCTAGAGGGACAGTTGACAACGACAACAACAACGATTCAGTGTATTTTTACAAGTGGAGTTTGAGGAGGGTGAGATGTACGCAGTCTTACCCTTACTCTGGCGGACAGAGAGGTTGTTTCCAATAAACTCTCAACTAAAGAAACTCTTTCATTTGATATCAAATAACAACAGTATAAGATAATTAGAAAATTGAGACTAAGATAGCAAAATACAAGATGAATTTTATCCATAGGAATGGTGTAATTAGGTCTTTTTGTTTTCTTGAGTCTCTTGGGTTTTAAAGCTGAGGTTTGTTCAGCTCAGGGGTTTTCCAATTCGCTTGTACATATCTTTTTCTTGGAAATAAAGTTGTTTCAAAAAAACATTCAAGATACAAGATTGAGGTGATAACTCCTTAACTCATATGTTAAGCCTATCATTTTCAATTCATAGTTATAGCTTGTTTGGTCAAACCTTTTTTTTTGGGCCAAAAGTGTTCATTTTTTTTCCCCAAAAATTGAGGTGTTTGACCAAGCTTTTAGAAGGGAAAAAAGTGATTTTGAGGAGAACCACAAGCAGTTTTTTAGAAGCAAAAAAAGTAGCTTCTCTCCAAAAGCACGTTTCTAAGAAATACTTTTGAGAAAAATACACTTAGAAGCAGTTTTTAAAAGCTTGACAAAACACTAATTACTGCTCAAAAGTGACTTTCAGATTAATTAGCCAAATACAAACTGCTTCTCACCAAAAGTACTTTTCATTTAGAAAAACACTTCTCAAAATAAGCTAGAAGCTTGACGAGACAGGCTATTAATATTGTTTACTTGGGCAACAAATAACAGATGGTCATTAATGAGGACATGTGGTAGGATTGCAAACTGACCTCTAAACGGATAAAATGAAAGTCAAGTACCAACGACTTACGTACGAACTGTTTTTATGAGGTTGACTCATTCAACAACATTTGACCATTTCATGTCCCATTGCTTCTGCTCTGCGCCTTCTTATTCTTTTTCTAAAACTCTCTTCTACATATGCTCACTCGTTTTTTAATTCTAAACTTTTTAAATTAGGATCAATTCACCATTATAGATTTCCTCTTTCTCCAACTAATCTAACAGTCTCAGTTGAATTCGAGGTTATTAATTCCATTTATTTAATTACCTGCAAATTTAACCTGGTTGTATAAAAAAGGTTTACATCTCAGTATACAAAAAGTTAAGCTCATACGCAACCGTACATATAATTTGAAGGTTTCAGGAGAATACTTGTATACAAATGCACAACAGCTGAACAACACCAGGAAATAGAATTGAACTTACTACTGTACACATAAGAAGTTACTAGTATTATTATATCATTGCATTGGTAACCACAAATGTGCATTGAACATTAGTGTACATCACAACTGTAAATTCATTTGTCTCCAAATTTGGAGCCATGAATTTGTCAATCTTCAAACTAGAGTAGGACTACCATTAAAAGCTTCTATTATAGTAATATGTCAGTTACTATATAGGACTACTTATGTAATAAAGTTGAAGCCCTTATAGCCTCAACCTTAAGTCCAATGCGGAGCCTGAATAAGTAGAAGAATAGGAAGACGAAGAATCATATTGATCTTCACCTGAGATTAATGTGACAGGAGGAGGGAAGTTAAGATCCAAATTAGTAGTAATATGATCATGTGCATTAGGGTTTAGAATAAGAGGAGCTTGTGTTAGTCCTGAACCTGAAGTTGATGCAAAACAACCTTTAACATTTTTGTGACTAGCCCTGTGTCCACCTAAAGCCTGGTGTGATCCAAACACCTTCTTACAACTTGAACACTCGAATCGACAACACTTGGCTTCACCTACTCCTGAAGACGAAGCTGAAGGCTCTGCTGATGCATCCACTATAATCCTGTCCCTCACAACATTCTCAGGTTCGTCGTTATCATCAGGTTTTGATCCACCATTGGCTAATAGTAACAAGCACGAAGCGATGTCGTGGTCCTTGTCTGTCATAATCATATGGGAAAGTGATTTGGGGGTTTGTGAAGAAACTTTATTTTGTCTAGGGCTAAATTCTGGAGCAGAAGTAGAAGAGTCATCGTTGTGTCGCCTGAAATTAGGAGGAGGGTTAATGCCGCGCCATTGGCGTTCAGGATGACAACGCATGTGACCAAAAAGGGCTTTCAATGACAAAAATTTCTTGCCACACTCAGTACAAGGCCGAGTAATTTTTGGTGCACTTGGGTCTGGAGGTTTTTTGGTACATTTAGGCTTAATAACTCCAGAAGAAGAAGATGACTTTGTAATTGGGAATGAATTACCAATCCTGAGGAATCTACTTCTTTTCCTTTTGGGATTATTGTGGGGTTGGTAACTTACACTTGTGTGCAAATTATGGTCTGAAGGGACATTTGTAGTAGAGTCAAACATGGGTAATGTTGATGGGTTTTCGTCTTCTATTTGAGGTTGACGATGATCAAGAAGAAAGTTACTTGAAAAAGCAAGAGATTGATAGGAATTGGAACTAGTGCTAGCATGGTGTTCCATATCTCTATTTGTTCCTAGGAAGAAGAAGATTGACCAAAAAAGTTCGAAGAAAATGGCTAGTTTTCCTTATGTAGACAGTTTGTGAGAGAAAAGGAGGGCGGTTACCTATGTACTATCAGATAATTACCGCGGGGCGGTTCCAGTTTTTACCACACAATATTCCAATTATACCCTTACTTTATCTCCAAGGATCAAAAGCCTTAATATTAATATCAGAAATCAGAAATGGATAAGCACGTCTCGCACTGTCTCCTAAACATTTTCAAACACTATAAACGGTAAAAGTTCAACTGCTTTTGCTCACAATCCTGCGGGGCACGAAGTTACCTCCACTGTGCATTATCTTAAATTACTTACATCCATATGTTGAGACAAACAATAATTAAAATAGCGATGAACATAAAAAGTGAAAAATACAATTACTTTACCTTTAGCATTTTTTTTAATTACTTTTCTTGCTCGTCAGATTCTTTTGAAGGTATTTTATGAAGAAACAGTGATATATGTGTCGAACTAAACTTTATTTGTCCTAAAAATGAACCTTTCGAACATATTATAATCCACATAAAATCATCGATGAAATGTTTCATATTCTATAATTTAATAAAAATAAACTCGAGATCAGGCATCCCACATCAAAGAATCTGTAATCATATTGTTAAAAACTTGGTAAGTTACAAGCTATTGAGCTGAACAACACTCGATCAATAACCTTTTGACAATCTACACACATTCTACATATCAATATTTACAAGGTCATCTACTTTGATAAATTACTAACCAGACCAGTTCACCTTTGAGACTTTCAAGCCCTGTTGTTGAAGTTGAAGAAGCTAGATTGAGACTGCCCAGGGACAGTTTGGTTACTTGCAGTCGAACGCGGAATGTGCTGCTGCTGGTGTTGTGGATGGTGGTTACCACATTGAACAAAGGACTGTGGTTGGGGAGGTAAATGAAAACGCGTTCCTCTATTTCCATTCGCAGCTGGAATTTGGCCTGCTTCAATCTTAAGCCGCTGCACTTCTTCCCTCAAAGTTTCATTTAGAGCTGAAAGTTATTCACGTACATTTCAGTCCTATAGTTCTAGTATCATATCAATGTACTAAGCAAGCTCGGACAAGAAAATGGAGAAATAAACAATGGCACTAACGAATATTAAAGTAGATGAGTCCACAAAAGTGAAAAAAGGAAGATCATAAAGCTTTGCAAGCCAATGATGCTATTGTTAGGTGTTTGCCATAATTTTCTTACCATATTTGGTTTTCCTATCTCTTGAAGGAAAAGGGCAATATAATTACCTTAACTGGGTTTTCCTTATTGTAAAAGGAAATTATAAATCTCCAATATTTGGCTAGTCCTTTTTCTTGTAGGAAAAGGTTTGGACTTCTATAAATTGAGAATCCTTCCTTCTCATTCAGTAGCATCCACAATGTAGCCGTATGGGGTTTGAGAGTCGTGTTTAGGGGGAGAACTTTACGGGACAAGTGTTAGTGTGTCACTTGTGTTTGCCTCTTCGTGAGGTTGTTCTCTCGATATTTTGTACTCTCTTTTATTATAGTGGATTGCTCATCTCCGCCGTGGACGTAGGTCAGTTGACCGAACCACGTTAAATGTTTGTGTCTCTTTTGGTAGATTTCTCTTTTGTTGTCTGATTTATCGTCGCTCAAGGTTTGCTTGCTATCTTCCGCATGACACCTGACTTTTTTCGGTCCTAACAAGTGGTATCAGAGCGAGGTTCAAGACAGGTTCATCTTGGTGTGTTCAGTTCTAGCTGCAACATATTTGACGATAATCGTGATTTTTTGTCCCCTGTGAAGTCCTCGACTCCACGACTGGACTAGAAAATGGAAACGTTAATAACGAAGTGGACACTACGGAATATTAAGTAGACTGTAGTCGACAAAGTGAAAAAGGAAGAAGTCGATAAGACGTTTTGTTCAAGAAACCTAATGGACTGGGGAGAATTGTTAGGTATTTGCCATAATTTTCTTACCATATTTGGTTTTCCTATCTCTTGAAGGAAAAAGGCAATATAATTACCTTAATCGGGTTTTCCTTATTGTAAAAGGAAATTATAAATCTCCAATATTTGGCTAGTCCTTTTTCTTGTAGGAAAATGTTTGGACTTCTATAAATTGAGAATCCTTCCTTCTCATTCAGTAGCATCCACAATGTAGCCGTATGGGGTTTGAGAGTCGTGTTTAGGGGGAGAACATTACGGGACAAGTGTTAGTGTGTCACTTGTGTTTGCCTCTTCGTGAGGTTGTTCTCTCGATATTTTGTACTCTCTTTTATTATGTGGATTGCTCATCTCCGCCGTGGACGTAGGTCAGTTGACCGAACCACGTTAAATGTTTGTGTCTCTTTTGGTAGATTTCTCTTTTGTTGTCTGATTTATCGTCGCTCAAGGTTTGCTTGCTATCTTCCGCATGACACCTGACTTTTTTCGGTCCTAACAGCTATAACATATTCAACTATAATTTTGCCAAATATTCCTCTTAAAGAGAATCTTTATCCTAGAGGATGCCTTTGACATTGAGCTTAAAAATTTATCTGGACAATAATTGACTCAATCAGAAAGATTTTGCTTCAGTTTATCTAGACTTTCCAGTTCAGTTCTGTTTTCTCTGTGTGTGTGTGTGTGTGAGAGAAACAAATCCTGTTTTCTGGTTAGACTTTTCTGGTTCTTTTAGAAGACCTGTTTAGGCAAAGAATAATGATTTTTCCAGAACTACATCAAAACAAAGAGTTGAATATAGTAATATACTCCAAACTCAAACAAAAAATTCTGAAGATAGAGCTAACTCAATATAAAGAGCTGAAAATTTAAACCTACATTCAAACCCAGCCGAAGATTGAATATGGGAAGAGAGCAATTGTAGTTCCGCCATATATAATTATAAAACAGGTATTTGAAAAAAGATGTCTCCTCTGACATGGGTATAAAGGGTTGTCTAGGTGCGTGAAAGAGGAGGAAGATATATGGGGGGGTGGGGGATGATGGAGACTCTGAGTATCAGAGATGTCGGTCTGAGGTGGAAGTGAAACACATAAGACAAAAAGAGAAAGGAGAAGAGATGGATAGCAGAGCACAAAAGTGACAGTAGTATACATTTGTGAAGAACAGCATTGTGTTTTACCAATCTCATTAGCTGGTACAGTGAAACCCATGTTTCTCTTTAAATGTGATTGCAGAAAACATAATCAGAATGTTTCTCAAGATGCTCTGTTATTGGAGGATTTTTACAGAATTTTGTTTATTCGTAGACCCCATACTCCTGCTCTTTTTCTTTGTTATATTAACTTTAATGCTCTTCCGTGCACAATTTTCTTTGAGACCAGACTGTAAGCTTGAAAATTTATAGTATCAAATTATAGTAAAGGCATACCATCTCTAAGATGTGCTTGTTGTTCCAAAGCTTGCAACCGAAATTTGAGTTCTTTGTTTTCAGCAGCTATTCCAGAAGTGTCTCTCTGCATCAACAAACAAAAATAGCGTGAAAAGACGGTTTAAAAGTTTTACATGTTTTACTTTGTGGAAATGACCCTCTGTTGGTTTTAGCAACAATGTGTGATCTCTTGAGAATGTTACATCCAGCAATATATTTACAATGCCAGCCAATACACATTTATAAAAACAAATATTGACAATAGCCTTTGTGGGCACACAGTATGCATCATGTGGAAGTATCTTATAGCCCGTTTGCCCAAGCTTCTTTTTGGCCAAAAGTGCTTTTGGCAAAAAATTGAGGTGTTTGCCAAGCTTTTGGAAGGAAAAAAAGTGCTTTTGAGGAGAAGCAGAAGCAGTTTTGGAGAAGCAGAAAAAAGTAGCTTCTCTCCAAAAGCACTTTTTTGAGAAGCACTTTTGAGAAAAATACACTTAGAAGCAGTTTTTTAAAGCTTGGCCAAACACTAATTGCTGCTCAGAAGTGCTTTTCAAACTAATTAGCCAAACACAAACTGCTTCTCACCAGAAGTACTTTTGAAAAAAAGCACTTCTCAAAATAAGCTGATTTTTGCAGCTTGGCCAAACGGGCTATTATTCTATGTTAGTCCCAAAAAAGAAAATAAGAGCAAAGGGTTGAAAAGCACCATTAAGCCATTATGGCCAATAAATAGGTCAAAATTGAGGTTGGACAGTAGCTCACACGGTGTGAGCCCCTCATCCTTTACCATTTGGTGAGAGATCGAATCCCGCCTATGTAAAATTACCCTCCCCTTTCCCCTCCCCTCCCCCTAATAGTAATAAAATTAAAAAAACAGGTCAAAATGGAAGCTTTACTAGTACAAACTAGATACTCATGATGCAGTTAAAGTAAAATAAATACAAATCATTCAGACATCAAAAGAAGAAAACAGTAAGAGTAATAGAGTAGCATATTGATGCATTGTTAACAAGTGCGATGGTACAACTGCCGAGTATTAACTTAGGTTCCACCAGATTGTTGGTACTAGCGGCCACAATGAATTCTTCCTCTGATATTGGAGAAATGCTAGACCAAGATTATACTGTGGAATACTTAACTTATGAAGACTATTCTAGACAAGAAAAGTTCACTTTTTAGCATCATCGAGAGGTGCTTCCACTTAGAAACACCTGATTGCAGGACAGACTAGTGAGTGAAAATGAAAAGGTAGAGGAACTGTTTGCACCAGCACCCTACAAACTTTCAAAGTGTAATGACCTAGGCATAAGTAGATATTTGAACAGCAAAAGATTGGAGCGACACTAAAACTTGAATGGCATGACAAACAAAGCTTGTTCCGCAGCTTCTTTCACAACATCTGAATTTGGGTTGAGGCCAATATATGATAGAAGCAATTGATAAATAACTACTTGGATATCTTATAAAGTGAATACAAAGATGATACAGCAATAGTATATTCCAGTGTTTTGGAGAGCGAGAAGCGGAAGTGAAGCGAAGCGTGCGCTTTTTTCAGGTGAAGCGCAATTTACTACAAAAATAAAAAATATTAAACAGGCATAGATAAATGACCAAGAACTCAATAAAAATAACATATTAAGCAAATCTTTCAATTCTTAAATTAAGAAGTAAATAATAGATACACCAGAACTAGATAGTCAATAATCCTCATAAGTCATAGCATATTAAGCAAATGCAAAAGCAAATCACAAAGGGAGCAACATCCTATTCTTCGACAAGATCTCCAAACTCTTGAAGTGTCATCACGTTTGAGAAGAGAAAAAAAACAGAACAGAGAAAAAAGAAGAGCAAAACATAGAAAATAACTGCTGCAAGTCGAATAACCGAAAAAATAGAAAAGAAGAAGAGAAAAAAGAGAAGAAGAGAAAAGAGAAGAGGTATCGAGAGGAAGCAGGTAAAGCAGAGAAAAGATGAAGAGGAAGAGAAGAGAAGAAAGAGAAGAAGAGAAGAAAAGAAAGAGAAGAAGAGAAGAGAAAACTTACCTTGAAAGAAGTCGCAACAGTCAAGAGAAGAGGAAGAGATGTCGCAAGGCATGCAACAGTCCACTTGAAGTAGATGTTTTGGAAGAGAAGTAAGAATGTATTCGCAAAATTTTAAAATAAAACCTTAGGCAGTCGTCGACCTCGCTTAAGCGAGCTTTTCTCACTCGCCTCACTTCTCGCTTCTCGCTTCTAGGCCTGAAGCGTTCACTTTTAACCCATGCCTCGCTTTAGGGCAGAAAAGCGCAAGGGTTGCGCCTCGCCTCGCTTAAAGCGCAGAAGCGCTCGCTTTTAATAACACTGGTAAATTCTAGACCCAAATGAAACAGTACAAATTTCCAAATAAATGAACAGCACAGGATTGCATTCATTACACATACCAGTTCTTAAAATTAGAACACAACAGAAGAGCTAACAAGCAAACTAAAAATGTTGGCCATATCATTTTCATTGGGTGCAAATTGTATAGAAGAGTCGACCAGCAGAAAAGATGCTTGAAACTTGAAAGAATATATGCAAACTCTCCAGAAATATGGCAACTTTTCTGTCATAACTGGGGTTAAAGAAGCCCCAATCTTGGTTTCCAAGTCATACAACAAGCCCATTTATCACTTACAAAAAAAGCCCAATTCTCCAGAACCAAAAGTCTCAATCTTTTCCACATTCACGAATTATTGGAAGAGAGTTACTTATTCAATAAGTTCTGTACAATGACTTACTCCACAAAAGAAAATTAGGTCATTATCATTGATCATACTTCTTTATCAGTTAATTCTTTATTTGATTGCAGAGGCTATATGCAAATTTTAGAGTTCTTCACTAAATGGGTTAGTCGATGTTAGGATATTTCGTCTTAGCCAACTAACTCTGTATTTTCGTTTCGAAATGTTCCTCTGGGTAGTAATTTGATCGACCAATTGTTCGACCAGTAGTTTGAGGTGAAAATGACTTTTTCTTAAATATACAAACTCGATGAAAGCAGAAAAAGAAACCATGTAAGAGTATGCAATTACTAACATACACAATCAAGATCAAGGGCATCAGGTGAATTGAGCCAACGTCACTTAGTTTAGACATCAAATAAAGCTGAGAGCCCTTGGTGATGTTGTGACTTTGATGGATACATACATTGTATTAAAGGTATATTGCTAAACACGAGGTTATTCAACATGTAAGATTACTTTAGACAACATAATTTCATAAAGTAGATGAATGTCACATGTATATTTCTGAAAAAAATTCAGACCTGAAGAACTGTGATCTGTGCAGATAGAGTGGTGGCTTCAGTCTGCAGAGTTTGCACTTTCCTCTCTAGCTCACCAGTATAACGAGTTTTCCGCTCCTTAGAACGTGCAGCAGATTGTCTGTTGGCTAAAATCCTGTAAAATTGCATGAAAAGAATAACTCCATTAAAAAGCTAAAACTTGCAGCTTGATTGGAGAGTTCTTATCCGACAAAAGCATATTATTTTGGGAAAAGAAAAGAGAAGACCAAAAAGTAAATGGTGCCACAAGATCTAGAAAAGAAACAATGCAATTATGGCCTTCTGTAAGAAAACTTTCAAATTCAAAAGTTGACCTAAATGCTTCTACCAGTGGCGAAGCCAGAAATATTTTCAAGGGTGTTCAAACTTGAAAGAAGTAGAAAAAAAAATTCCGACAAAGGGTGTTCAATATAGGTTTTATATATCTAAAATCAATATTTTACTTATATACACAGTGGAATTTTTCGTAATTTTTCGGCGAAGGGTGGTCAGTTGACCACTCTTTGCTAAAGGTGGCTTCGCCCATGGCTTCTACTTTATCAATGATTCCCAGTTTACTCTTCACTCTCTAACATTCAGCAGCTTAGAACATTATAGCTTCCTTCTATTTGGCTCTATATCAAGCTGTATCACCATAAAAGTTGCAATAGCATCTCTTCCTCAACACAGTAGCCTGACTTCTCTGTTAGGAGCTACTATTTAGACTGCAATCAACTAGTTTGTTTGTTTTTATTTTTCCTTCTAATATGCAGATGAGAAAGAAAGCCAAATCCCAAGAACTGCAACTACCATCCACTTCATGAATCCAACATAGCAAGTTAAAGACTTTATCGACAACTGAAATAACGCTATTTGGCACTCCAAAGAAACAGCAAATACTTAAAAACCAAGAACTGCAACTACCATCTACTTTTCTCCATTTTCTCACCATAAACCATTTCATAACGAATTTAACCCAATCAAAGGTTTCAGAAGACATTTTTGCTCAATCACTTCTGGAAAGAAGACAAAGTTAAACCCAAATGATTCCAAATTCAAGGCTAAACCAAAAAAAATTAACTTGCAACCTAAAATTCTAACACTGCAGTAAAAAAGATGAAACCTTTTGGCTCTCTTGGGATCAATCAGGGACAGCTCAGCAAGCTTGTCAGGAGCCATAGCCTTCTTCACAGAAAGCGATTCAGACTCAAAGTCAAAAGACCCATCCATGGAATTGCTATGCCTATGACGCGGGCCACCACCCATCATCTTATTCTCCGCCGCCGCAGCACCAAAGTCCAGTCCATCGAAAAAATCAGCATCCACAGAGAGACTACGGTAGTGGGACAGCGGCTTAGGGTTATTATCGGAAGGCCCAGCTGATAACGCCGGCCCAGCTGACGAAGAATCAGCCGAATTTGCAGGCTGCTGCTGCTGCATGAGGGACGGCGCCTGAACATCGAGGTTGAAGTCAGGAACGACGTCGTCTAAGAGGATGTCATCGTCGAAGTTTGGAAACCGGAAAAAGGTTTCGGATTGGGCCCGGCGATGACGTGACCCACGGGTCGGAGTATCCTGCATCTGGTCAAGGTCATTTTGACCTGAAAGGAATTGGGCCTGAATGGGCTTTCCGGCGAACTTCGGGTCCATTCTTTTAAGCTTCTGAACTACTATTGATTTGGAGGCGGAGGAGAAGAAGAAGAAAAATGTAGGGGTGGGACCCAGGAATTGGCAGTAGAAGCAACGAAGAAGAGTAACATGGGTATTTTGCTGGCGGGCTGAAAGACTAGTAGTAGAGAGCTTACAGCAAGTCAGCGACAAGCTTCCACAAAATAAGGGGTAGACTTGTCCAAAGGACAGGTATACTTTTAATTTTTACTTTTTTAATTCTTTGAGTTCTATCGGTCATAAAAAAATAAATTTGATTACGAGAGAAATTTGTTTGTCAAAGTAACAAGCTACCTTTGTTTAATCCCTTTTCTACCACCAAATGATGCTAATTGTGTATTTGTGCGCGGGTAAAATCGAGATAGCCGAGGGCTTCCACAGATCACAGTTCGGGGAGGACGAATGGTGCGCCCGGGACTAGACATGGCCAAGCATTGAGCTTGAGCAAAATGAAGAACCGAGACTAAGGGAAAGGCGATTAAACAAGATAAATAAGGGGCCAAAATATCCGCCCTTAACTGGATATTATGGCGCAAATCTCTCCTGATATCAACTGCGTATCAATGTTTACTGGAAGAAAAATATTTTTTTACCTTACTAAGACTTGTACCAGGAATGAAATTCCCCTACTATATAAAAGGGAGAACTTTTTTTATTTTATTTGAGGACCACTGTTGGCACGCATACCAAAGCAATAAAGTTAATTTTTGTTCTCTAGCTATTGTTTAAGGTGTTCTTCAGCTGTTTGTTTATTGAGCTGCAACCGAGCTCGTTCTGAGGGCTGGATCGTAACCAATTTCAACATCCATCATAAAGCTAGATTTAATCATCCATTGCATTTGGTTTGATTGTTTTGTTTTCCTTTAATTCAATTATTTACTGTTCTTAGATCATTCGTGTTAAATTAAATCACATATCGTTTAAATCGCATATAAATTCAATTATTACTCATTTTAAGGGTAAACACTAATCAATAAAATCCTTTCACTCGTAATTAAAATTAATTTGAGATATGAGAATGAACTCTTAATAGGAGAGTAAGGAGGAAATGTGGAGTTGAGAGCTGGAGAATTCATTAGATCATCATGTACAAATCCTCCGGGAGGAATACATGGTGATCATTTTTTTCTACTAATCTTGTGCTCTTTTTTGCAGGAGACGTTATTGTATTCATGCCTTGCCATTTATTACGACTTCTATGGGTGGTACTATGTGCCCATTCCCTTGAAGGAGGAAAGATGGCATGCACAAGCATGAAACAAAGGAGGCAAATGAATATTCATAGCATGCAACAAGTATGGCAAAGTGATATATTGTCACAGGCTTGGGTGTTGGAGGCGCAACAACAAAGGCGAGCAACATTAGCAGGCCCAACGAGCTTCCCCGCATGCCTAAGACCACGCCTAGCACGACCAGTAGCAAGCTCAACCACTAGGTGACGCCAAGGAATGCGCCAGCTCCATCTCGCTATATACCTGGCGACGCCCAGGGTTTATCATTGCTATAGACCTGGCCTAGCGCATCCAGTAGCGAGACAACTCCCATGCGACACAAAGGATGTCACCAGGTCCATCACGCTAAAGACCTGGTGACGGGAGGGTAGCCGCAACTCCAGCACGCCTTGAACCTGGCGACGCACAGTCCCCTTCTCACGAGGAACCTGGCGACGCACGGTCAGTTTCACGTGTTACACAACACTAGACATTGCTGGATAGCTTGTTGTTGGCAACATTTTTCAGGAGCTTTGGATTCACAATGGGGGAAGCAAATGTTTCGCACTTTACAAGAAGGTATATGTTTGCTCAAAAGTTATCACATATCTTATGAGTGCAAAATAATACAAATAAGTTACGGGAAAATCATAGCAAATCGTAATAATCCATTGGACCACAAGAAGGAAACGAAAAGAGGTACTCAGGATTAGGGGGAGAAATATTAAAAGCCTTTATTGATAATATTGGTTTGGTCTGCCTCTCCATGAATAGGTTCAAAGCCTTACAATGGTGTTTTCACTTCCCATAAGATGGGTGTGTTTTTCTCTTCTCTCTCTCTCTCCATAGTAGTCAAGAAGCAGCCCCCCTTTCTAGGACTTCCACTCTTAGTATTTATAGTTGTGAGCTTCGTGATCTGGCGATAAGTGGCCGTGGCCACGTTGGGATCTCGCCTTTATGGTGGCGGATAGGCCATGGCCTTGTCGATCGAACCAGATGCGAGTTGAACATCGTCAATTCTGAGTGGTCGTGCCATTAATTAATCATGAATTAACTTAAAACGGGATTAGCCTCGTTAATTATCGTGGGATCGAATTCTGACCCATACAGTTAGTCCCTCCGCTTATTGAGGTCGGGCCTTGGCCGAGCTCGATGAGCGGATTCCATTGGCTGTATTTCGAGAAACACGAATGGAGATGTCGACTATTGCTTCGGTCGAAGCCGAATTCTTTTTGGCGGTGGCCCTTAGCCTTGTAGAGTATTAGTATCCTGTTATGGGGCTATCAAGTCATAGTTCGATCGAGCTCAAATTCTCCTTCTGGGCGAAGGCACCCTTTTAACTTACTTCGAGTGAGGTCGAGCTGCATTGTGCTCTGATCCCTACGTTTGTTTTGGAAGCATACCCGTCGGCCGTGACGGACGGGTCGTACGTTGTGCAGTCGAGGAGTATGAGGGCACGCTTGATACGTGCTCGGCGGCGGCCTTAGCCGTTTACACGTTGGAGATGGTCGTAGCCTTTCATATATTGAAGATGGCCGTAGGGAATGAGTATGCGCCGGGTACGTATTTGGTCACGTCCAGAATTTTGAAGGCGTACGGCACATTCTTTCAATGTTCGCAGGCCATAGCGATTATTCTGACGGCGGTACGTTGGCGGATGGCTGAGAAGTCGCTTTGCGGAGCTTGTCATAATGACGCTTGCTTCGGCAGAACCGAATCGTTTTACGGTTGGTCGTGCAGTTAATGATGGCTATTGGGTTTCGCGAAAGCCATTTATGTTGCCTATAAAGGTGGGTTGAGGCATTCATTTCTCATATCTTCATTGTTCACCTGAGAGAGATTCTGAGGAAACTTTTTCATTCCGCAAATTCATCTTCTCCTTTCTTTCCTTTGATTGTGATAACCTTTGTCTTTAGTAGATCAACAATGACAGGCAGTTCTTCCCACGATGCTCTTCCGATAGACATTCCGGTAGTTGAAGGGCCACCTCCGGCAATGGGAGGTGCAGAACAGATAGAGACCGGAGAAGTTCCGTCGGTTGACGAGGTAGTCCTCGGCCCGGAGGTCCAGCGATTGATTTCACTGTCGACGGTGGAGAGGAACCGGTGGATGAAGCCCCGTTAATGGGGGAGATTGGGATGGCCCGATTACGGGAACAGGGGGTCGTTCCCACCCATGCAGACATCATTCTTGCTAGAAGCGAGGAGAGGGTCCACACCGACCGCAGGGGATACTGCATTTTTTACGCCTATCCTTTCAGGTTGGGGTTCAAGATCCCGCTCCCAATGCTGGTGGTGGATTTCTGCCGTTATTACGGGGTGTGCCCGGGTCAGCTCACTCCTTCCCTCTACAAATTGTTGGCAATGTTCATCAAGTACGCGGAATTGGCCCGAAGGGAGGTCACGCTGCAGCATGTGCTGAGTCTCTACGCTCCCCAGAGAGTCTGTGGCACCATGATTCAGGCGTGCCCTCGTGGGTCGAGGGGCCTGGTCATGAGATTGGACGACGAGGNATTGCGAAGCCTGATCTCGCAATTGCGAGATCGGAGCCTGCAACACAGCTGAACCTGCAACAGCCATTACTCTGAGTCCAATTTCACTCCGTGGCCTATCCAAAGCTCACCCGAGCTCTCGGGGCTCCAAACCAAACATGCACGCAAGTCTAAAAATATCATACGGACTTGCTCGTGCGATCAAATCATCAAAATAACATCAACAACTATGAATAAATCCTCAAATTCATGAAATCACTCAAGAACATCAAAATTACTATTTTCTCAACTATAGGTCCGTTTTATACCAAACCAATTCCGATCTTTACCAAATTTTACAGATTCAACTTAATTATTATTTTAAACTTGTACCGAGCTCTGCCGGTATGTTAGCGGATGGCTGAGAAGCCGCTTTGCGGAGCTTGTCATGATGACGCTTGCTTCGGCAGAACCGAACCGTTTTACGGTTGGTCGTGCAGTTAATGATGGCTATTGGGTTTCGCGAAAGCCATTTATGTTGCCTATAAAGGTGGGTTGAGGCATTCATTTCTCATATCTTCATCGTTCATCTGAGAGAGATTCTGAGGAAACTTTTTCATTCTGCTAATTCATCTTCTCCTTTCTTTTCTTTGATTGTGATAACCTTTGTCTTTAGTAGATCAACAATGGCAGGCAGTTCTTCCCACGATGCTCTTTCGATAGATTTTCCGGTAGTTGAAGGGCCACCTCCGGCAATGGGAGGTGCAGAACAGATAGAGACCGGAGAAGTTCCGTCGGTTGACGAGGTAGTTCCTCGGCTCGGAGGTCCGGCGATTGATTTCACTGTCGACGGTGGAGTGGAACCGGTGGATGAAGCCCCGTTAATGGGGGAGATTGGGATGGCCCGATTACGGGAACATGGGGTCATTTTCTCCCATGCAGACATCATTCTTGCTAGAAGCGAGGAGAGGGTCCACACCGACCGCAGGGGATACTGCGTTTTTTACGCCTATCCTTTCAGGTTGGGGTTCAAGATTCCGCTCCCAATGCTGGTGGTGGATTTCTGCCGTTATTACGGGGTGTGCCCGGGTCAGCTCACTCCTTCCCTCTACAAATTGTTAGCAATGTTCATCAAGTACGCGGAATTGGCCCGTAGGGAGGTCACGCTGCAGCATGTGCTGAGTCTCTACGCTCCCCAGAGAGTCCGTGGCACCATGATTCAGGCGTGCCCTCGCGGGTCGAGGGGCCTGGTCATGAGATTGGATGACGAGATCGACCCTCGCCCTTTCGAGCACTTCTTTTACATCAGGACCAAGCATCTGGTGGCGGATGCTACTGGGTTCCCAGAGGCTTGGAACCATGCACGCAACTTCTTTAGTGGTTGAATTCCCTTTTCTTCCCCTCTTTATGATTTGTGATCATGAGCGTTAACTCGTGTCGTGTTTTGTAGCCGACAGGTCGCCGCCGGCCCCATTGTCTTGGATACGTGAGTGGGTCGAGGCCGTACTCCCCCATACGGTGGGGATACGCACATGGGCGTCTTTCTGGGAGAGGCATGGCCGTAGGCCCGTGGCAGGTAAGAAATTGATTTCTTCTTCTGTTCCGCTTTGTTTCAACTTTATTCATCAACTTTGTTTTACTATGATCAGGGAGGGCACGCCGCGTCAGGGCCCCTCAG